TCCATCCCCCTCCATCCCTCTTCATCCCACTATGCCCATCCCTCTCCATCCCACAGTACCCCTCCTGCTGTACCCATCCCTCTCCATCCCTCTCCATCCCTCTCCATCCCTCTCCATCCCTCTCCATCCCTCTCCATCCCATTCCCCACACCCACCGGTACCGCCACGGTGAGATGGATCTCTCGTGGGGCTCACTGTGCAGCCCTGCACGGAGCTGCAGCGTGGGGCAGGAATGCTCTCTGCGTCTCCGTCGCCGTTGGGCGGCCTCGATCTGGGGCACCAACTGCACTGGCACGTGCTGCTCCCAGCGCAGGCTGCGGCCCAGGAGGTGTGCGGGGGCCTCTCCATCCCGCAGCTCCGCCGTGCCGTAGCAGCGCACGTGGGGGTGGTGATGCGTGGGGACGGCAGGACGGCGCAGGCAGCAGCACAGCACCACGGCGCTCAGCAGCGCCAGCGCTCCCAGCCAGCCCTGCGTGGGGGGCAGGGGATCAGCTCTGTGTGTGTTACACGCATCGATGCACGGCTGGCATGTGTGCACACGCATGTAACGCACACAATGTAGCTCTGACACGGCTGTGCACGGCATGTGGCAGGCACATCTGTGTGCACGTGGATGCGGGAAGGTGTAACAGATGCACATCACGCATGCAGTTAAATTTGCACACATGTAACGTGCACATCATACACGCTTACAGCACGTATGCAGGCTTACGACCCGTTTACACACAAACTGCACGTGCACAACACATGCAGAATGCTTTGGTGCACGTGTATAACATATGTGTAGATGTAATGGATATGAAACACAGACAGAACATATGCACTGTATACAAATGTATGTAACAAGTATGCACATACACACACACACACACATATGTCCATATGCACGCATGTAACACACACACATACGCACACAGATAAGCACATGTACACACAGATATGCACATATACACACACATATGTCCATATGCACACATGTAACACTTATACACACATGCACACAGATAAGCACATGTACACACAGGTAAGCACATATATGCACACACAGGCCACATGCACACACGTAACACTTGTGCACATGACACATACGTGCCCATTTAACACATACACACACATAGCACATCTATAAGCACACCCCTCTATGCACACACACATGTACACACATTTAACACGTCCATACACACACACACACAGGTGGAACACATCTATGCACCCCCCACACATTCATACACACGCATACAGCACAGCTATGCACACAACCTCTATGTACACACATCCATAGCACACACATCTATACACACACATATTTAACACCCTTCCACAAACACACACGTATATTTAACACTTTCACACACAAACACACATCTGTGCACA